CCTCCTTACTTAAAAGCACTAAAAGAATCTCAAGAAGAACCACGAAAAAAGATGGCAGCTTTTGAAAAATTAATCCGGTATGTTTCAGAAATGAATCTGCAGACGTGCAAGGCAACCCCACTGAATCGCCTGTTCAGGAAACTGCGGCCGCTACGGCAATTGGAATGTATGAGGAGCTACAGCGAACTCATGTAAGCACCAAGTAAGTTTTTTATCTTATCTTCGATAATGCTTAATCACTGATGAATTTAATTTTTTTTCGAAGTTTCAATTCTGGACATAATTAACGCTGCCAAACTAAATGTTTTGCAAAGCTATCGACTGTTCTGCCCCCAGCATTTGCTAAGTCACGGGAGCTGAAAGTTTGCCAGAATAAATTTTGATTTGCTAAAATACTAATACTAACAATAATAGTAACGATAATAGTAGTTATAATGACGGTAATAATAATAATAACAGTAATAATGATGATAATAATGGATGGTCTACAAAAAAATTCCAGGTGAAAACTAGGTGCAGTGATCTTAGGCTGTAAGTGATTACTACTCAAGCATACTTTTCGGGCTAATTGTGAAGTGAAAGATAAGGAAAAAAACAAAAAGTTTTTACAGTTTTGTAAAATTTGCTCGCGAGCGATTGCATCCGGAAATTGCACGAGTGAAGCTCCAGCTCGCCAACAATAGTAAACGCCATTTACAGTGGGGTATTAAATGCACCAGCGATGCCATTCAGGTACTTAGTGATGTGAACAGGACTTTCTTTCTTAAAAGGATGAACTGTTTTTACACAGCACTTTGTTTTTTTTAATCAACTTCTTTACACTGAATGTTATCGTACGGCGAACAGACGAAGTGAACTCCTAGAGCTCTGCAGTGCAGGAACGAAGGGTCTGATTCAGTTGGACTTGGCGTGTGGGAGCATCGCAATAGCATCACTAACACGGGATAGCCATACTTACTTTAATACTTGGGCAGCTATATGTCATCGACGTTGAAACAGTCTGTCTTATTGTATAGTGAAGTGCAGATACCTCGTGTAGTATTTGAAAAAGTAACATCTAAGAAATCAACCGTATTACCGTGAGCGGTAATAATTATTTCAAGAATATTTCCATGTATTGTAGAATCCGTTTGAGAAGTAAGAAGGAAAGACAATCATCTATCTTGAAAAAGCTGAAGCCGACTCAGCACACAAAAGGGCTTGGGATCCGTTAAATTCCGATAAGAACTGCTTGCGTTCCGCTAAATCTCAATTATGCCGCGGCCAATACGCCGATAAACCTGGCAACTTTAGTAAAATTAGACGTCATAATTACGACGTATTTTCTTCATCAGATTCTAAGATTGCGCGGATAGGCAGTGTTGGTATCCCATACCACTAATGTAACTGGATTTTTGTTACGTGTTGGGCATAGTTACGCCGGGTTCTTCGATCCTGAGCTGCATATCTTCAGTTAGTAGCCACTGTCTGTTTGATGTAAAAGCGCCACCCGTTGTGTCAAGAATCAAAAACTGATAATAAGCTGCATGAGCATACGCGCAAACCAATGCTAAGGCAGTACTACGCGAAAAAAAATCGACTTCACCATGACTGTTTAGGCACTTCCAAAGGCAAATGGCATGATCAAGGCTTTCGACATCAACGAATGCACGCTGGTTTGGCAACGTCCTAAAAACAATAAATCGTGGCGCGAGCTACCTGTGCTAAAAATGATGCTTTCTATAAAACTGCTTTCAGCAGATACAGGAAAAGTGGTCGGTGAAGCGGACAAAAAATTTCTGGGTAATATTTTTGGGTATTCAACCTGATGA